CAGCCGCAGCTGTCAATCAGAACATTCGTGTCCAGAGAGAATGATCTAGTCATCTATGCACTATAGAAGGTGACCTCAGGTTGCTGAGGGTGATAAAGGTTACTTTTAAGAATGTAGGCGCATCGTCGCTGTGATGCTCCAGACCTTGGCCTAAAGAAGGAATGATAACTATTGGATGAGTCTCGTGGATATATGCTGCAAGAATGAGAGATATGGAAACAGAAATGCATCTTTTCAGCAAAGTAAGCAAGGTGCCTTTTTTGGGGATTATGCCTAACACATGTGGGACAACCTTCGTTTTTCCCCTCGGTTCAACAAAAATGCAGAGGGGACTCATTTGTACGAGCATTTTTTTATATTGTAACAGTCTTGCCGCATAGTAACTGATCATGTTTCAATGCTGATGGGTGACTATAAAGACGCTGCCGCAAAGATGGTGGCCTTTTCAAGATGTAGAGGGGTTGTAGAACCCATATTATCATAACCATGGTCGTCCAATTTAATATTTTATTTACACTGCATCAAGCAGAATCCATGTGTCGCTTTTTGGAAACACATTTCCCCCCGATATATTCCCACTGATGGTATAAGGTGGGTAAAATAGCAACCAAGGTGGGAGTTTCCTTTGGTGATAGTCCTTTTTATTATTTTGCCCTTGCCTTCTCTGTTGTCCACCTCTCTTTCTAGTGAATCATCGTATTTTTGGTAATATAAGTATATAATTTATATAACTATATAGAGAGGGAATCTTTATGGCTGAAGTAAATCCCCAACCTGGCCGTCTTGCTGGCGTAGCGGCTGGTTTCATCAGCTGGGTTGGAAGAAGAAGAAGGGGAAAAAAACAGCCCTTCAGATTGACCACAATGGCGTCGCCTCCCGGACAGGGGAGAGGGCACGGAGGCAGGGGAGGATGCGAAAGCAGGAAACGATACACAAACAACGAAAAAAGAGCATAGTCCGTTGATATCCAGGACCCATAAGGGAATGGGGTATGGTGAGCGCAAATCTCACCACCCCGACCTCCTCTACTCCTGTGTTGCGTCCTTTAGGATTTCGGGGGCTAAGATCCACTGATGGTGGGCGACTGATACATCCAGAAAAAAGGCATGAGGAAGCTGCTCTGAAAATTAACTGACAACGAAATACTGGTAGCTACGGCTAGGAACGCTTGGTGAAATGTTACACTTCCTGGAAGCATGTCTGTTCGGTTCCTCCCGGCAGTTCTGGGCGAGGGAATGGGATTGGTTAGGTATAACGAAATGGGATGCTATTCTCCCCAATGTTCCAAGTTAGGACTTAACGGAGCCCAGGGCCCCTCTTTTGGGCTCGGCACACTGTCCTGGATAAGTCTGTAACAAGGCTTTACCCCCGGCAATATCTTAAATAAAACCTTCCAAATCTGCTCTGTACCCGAAACCAAGATTGCACTTTATAGGTGAGGGTGTGTAAGCAGTGTGTGGTCGTGGATTTGTGAACTGTGTCAGTGGCGCTCGGTGTGTGTGTTTGCTCGGTTTTTACAGTTTCGTTTGCGCTCTCGCCGTTGTAACTGCACCGCCGTCTACCCTTGTATACAGCCATGAATCCCAACTGAAGGCCAGATTATGGTACATGAGGGGAAAGGAGGGGTGTGTGTGGTGTTTGTGTGTGTGTGGTGTGTGTGTGTGGTGTGGAGTGTGTGGTGTGGTGTGTGTGTGTGTGTGTAGTGGTGGTGGAGTGGTGGGTGGTGTTGTGTAGCCGGGTGCATGGGCTGAGCCACGCTGTTCGCCAATAGTGCTGCCTGCTGGCTGGGCGCTGGCCTGGCAGAAAGCGGCTGGGGCAGCCGGAGACTGTCGGCTGGGGCTCCGCTATCGCACCAAGTTATGCCGTTTTCCCCGCATGAAGGGGCCCTGCCCATTATCACCCCAGACCCAGAGAGGGTCTCCTTCTTCTCCCCATCCCGTGACCATCCTACTCTTCCTCACCCACACACACCTTCTCCAACATCCTCCTCCTCCTCCCATCACCCCTGCCTTCATATCCACCGATGCGCCCGTCGGCGAACATTCAACGAAAGGGAGGCTCCAGCAGATCTTCCTCACCACATAAACACACACAAAACCTCCCAGAGTGTGTATGTGCATGTTGCCGTGCTGCGTGGTGGTGTGTGTGGTGGGTGTGTGTGTGCGTACGGTATCAATTTGCCCAAAAACGTTTTATCACAGTAGTAATTGGGCTTGGCGGTACCTGTGTCATGAGATATGCGCAGCCTCTTTCCTCCACGCGAGCGGGCTCGGCGCGCCGTCGATGTGCGGCTTCTGCTTCGCTCCTTCTCACGCCGCAAACAGCTCCCCAACCACCATTACTGAACTGGTGTCTTTGAACGCCTTCTGGTCAACCAGGATGACGCAGGCGCGGAGGAGGAGAGATGGTTATGAGAGAGAAAGGAATGAAGTAGTACTGCGCATTAATAAGGCATTAACAGACACAGTATAAAAAGATGGAGGGTGCAAGGACAGAAATGAGGGAGGAAACAGAAGAGGGGATTGGGAGCAAAAGGTAATGAGGGATCAGAAATAAATAATGAAGAGAGATATAAAAGGGAAGATGGGTGCAGGTGGTGTCCACAAACTCATCAACACAGAGAACAAAGTACATGTACGCCAGGAGAAGAGGTTTCTTTCAACACTAGGACAAACAAACCAGCTAACTGTTGCTGCTCCTTTTGTTTTTTGTGATTCCTTTTCTTCAAACTATTATGGGCAAAATACTTAACTGGTTAATGAAGAAATATACTGAAGTCACGAGAATGTACTGAGTATATTGTTTAGTTATAGAATGCATACAGTTTGACATCAAAATCCTCAATCAATCAACAACCATCTTCTACTATATTAATGGTGTGGGACTCAACTAATGGGTTTTTAATCTCATTGAGCCTTGGGGGACCTTATATTCTTACGCTAATTCCCAATAGGTGGACATCCCTGGGTTTGGCAATTCCTTAGTTATTCGCTTGTGCACTTGGATGTAAATGTAAGTTGAGATACATTTAAATAAAAATGCAACCCTCGTGTTTTTTAAATAGTTTTCCTGCTCTGCTATTAAGATGGAGAAGAAGGCCAGATAGAGGGGAAAACAATGTCTGAATCAGTGTTGGCTAAACCTTGCGGAAATGTTGCACAGATCAATTGTAAGAAGGTCGTCTTTTAATAATTATTGTGTGCCGTCTAGTCTTTAACCTTAAACAGTTTTTAAAAGTCTCCACAGATTACCCTTAGAGCAAACTAAAGGCTATGTGTTGTACCCCACACTCTCCATTTCAGATACTGTCCGACACACACCAGCCACTCCATAACGATACCACGACCAAAATTACTCTATAACCATAGGCCACTTAATACAGACTCGCATTTCTGACCCACTTTCACCCTCTGTCCCTCCCTGGTCTCCCCGTTGCTATTCTCCAGAGAAACCTCCTGCCCGAGGTGAGGAAATGTTATCAAATTGCGCAACAACTGAGGGAGTGCATCCCGGGAAAAAAAAAGTATCTCCATTTTTGTGCCTGATGCGACGTTCGGTTTTTTCTTAGATGGGAAAGGAGAACTGTGAGCAGGAGGAGAGAACGTTTTTTATTTCACCCAGGCCAGCACTTTTTTGCTGTTGCCTGACCGCAGTGTGTGTGTTGTGTGGTGGTGTGTGGTGTTTTGTGTGTGTGTGTGTGTGTGTGTGTGTGTGTGGTTGTTGTTGTGTGTGTGGTGTGTTTGGCTCGGCACGTGTGATGTGTGCATGTGGTCGTGTGTGGATTTCCGCAGCAGCCCTCCTCCCCTCCTCTCCCTGCCGCTCCTCGCTCTATCACTCATCATATTTTTTTTCCTTGGCAATCAATTTTTTACACTGTCATGCATCCACTTCCTTTGCTCCGCCGCTCGGCCTCAGCCGTAATTAAGAAGCAGGGATTACCATATATAATTATATTAATGCAAACATCATTCCAGCAGGTAATCTTCGGCTGATGGGATTGGAAGGTTTGAAGCAACCCATTAACTGGGGCCCAGGCACGGGAGGGCGGGTATGGTGTGTGTGTGTGGTGTGGTGTTGTGTGTGTGGTGTGGTGTGTTGGTTGTGTGTGTGTGTGTGTGTGTGGTGTGGTGTGGGGGACGAATTGGGGTGGAGGGTCCGAGGGTAGGAGAGGCCTTGTTTGCAAAAGAGATTCACCCGTGGTCCTCCCTGTGGCACACACGACACACCACACTCAAATACCACACTATTGAAAATTATAGCACTTTTTAGACACAGTATTTGACACAACAAGTTCAAACAGAGGCTGAGAGGAGTGGGTGTGTGTGTGTTGGGTGTGTTTTGAGTCACTTTGAAGGACACGTAGACACACAACTTAATGGCCACACACAACACACCACACCTCTAAATGCCAGCTGAATTATCTAGCATTTGTTATAATTAAAATGCAGTCTGTCTGTTAGATCAAAATACTGGGGGTATCTCTGGAAAGGAGACAGTAGAGTAAAGTGTGTTGTTTGTGTGTGTGGTGGTGTGGTGTGGTGTGGTGGTGTTGTGTGTGTTGTGTGTTGTGTTGTGTGTGTTGTAGTGGTGGTGTGTGTGTGTGTTGGGTGTGTGGCTGTGGCCGTGTGCCGTGTGGCGTGTGCTGTGTTAATCATTCTAGACAGAGAGGCAGAAAAAGGAAAGCTGCCTTAAGAGGAATGAAAAAGGCACAACTTTAGGGAAACCAACCCTTACAAATAACTCCCCCTTATTGCCAGCTAACTACAAAAGCCCTTCATAGTGAATATATTTCATAACCCATGACCAACGTGGTGTTAATATAGTCCCAGCCCCAATGAGTCCTTGCAGGTGGGGAATGAAACCTATGGTAATGCGCAATTTGTGTAAACCATTTGGCGAGCAGCAAGTATGATTTAGGAGTAATGACAAACCTCCTCCTTCAAATGGTCCGGCGCAGATATCGAGTCGTCGGGTGAACTCGGTCTCCTCGGCTTCCCTCAATCCTCAGGGATAGACGTGTCCTGGCCGTCGTTCACGCTCTGATGGTTGAACACCGTGTGAAAAGGGGGGAAAACCATGAAAGAGAGTACAGACATTCACAGTGGGAGATTTACATACGAAAAGTGAGGAGGACTGATTTTTGGCGGTTTTATTGGTTCTATAATTGTGAGGAAACGTCTGAGCAATTGGAGTCAGGAATCAGAGAGAGACGAGGGAGAGCTGGGAGCGTTTGATGGCAAACACTGAAGGGTGATTTGGTGGGAGCTTGGCCGGAGAAATTGCACATGACATGTACGGGCCACGATTGAACAGCCCAGTAGAGATGCCACAAGTCAATTGCTGAAGACCCCTCCTGGTAGCCGTCGCCAGGTTTTAGGACTAGTTCAAAGGTGTATAATCAACAATTCATTCAATAGATGGCTAAACAGCTGAGGAACTGAATCACATTAGTTGTCCGCCTTATGGCATCCAGGGGTCATCTACACCAGAGAAGGATGTGTTACCAAGGTTGTCCACAAACAATAACTATTGCCTGACCCGCCGAAAACTGGCAAACATCGACCAAAATGCTAGGGCAAAACCCTCCTTATGGGAAGATATAGGCTGAATCAAGGTTTTGGTCAGCTGCCGTCAGAGGCGAAGGAGGGACATGCAGGGCAAAATGATTCCCCAAAGATATAACATATAAATGTGATTTACATGCTGATTTCCCAGGTGGGTAGTGGAGCCCCGAAGGAGGCCAGAGTCTATTCTAGGACCAATATGGACTAGGAATTGTCCATGAGCTTATTAAAAGTTTAATTTAAGCTATTTACTTAATTACTATTTTTCAAAGCCTGATATCTCCTTAAAACAAGACGTCATCATCCTTTAGTGCCGCTCAAAGGAAGTAAATTTCACAACAAAGCTGGTTTTCCAACACACTAAACAATGATCCCATCATTGGAGCGTCCCTGCACAGCCAGCAGTTCCCCTGCTCCTCTAGGTTGGTGGAATTAGATGTATGTGCTGCTGTTTCCACAACCTCCTGTGTAATACAATGTATGGTATTTGTGTGTGTGTTGTGTGTTGTGTGTGTGTGGTGTGTGTGTGTTGTGTGTTGTTGTGTGTGTGTGTGTGTGTGCTGTGTGTGGTGTGTGTGTTGGCATTTGTTAGTCTCACCTGGTCTGCTCTCCACCGTACTGGCCTGAAGGACTTCCAACTGAGTTTTCCTGACGGCAGAAATCCCTGTGTTGAAGAGACCGGGCTGGCGCAGCCTCTGCCCGTTGCCCTGCGGCAGACGTCGCTCGCCAACTGCCCCTCAGCGTTTCTGTCAAACACAGAGAGGAAATGTGGTCAAGCATGTGGATTACGGTTGTTGCCTTTGATCGTCACAGGAATATAACAAGGTATGTTTTAGACAGATGGAATAATACGCAAGTATAGTTATTGAAGGTGTGTCTCTAAGAACAGGGGTCTGTCAAAGTCAATTTCACTTGGCCACATTAGCCAGTCATGGTTGCCCACTCAAAGGGCCAGTTTTATAGTATAAAATAAAAATGTACATATAGTAAAGTATATCAATATATATAGATGAAAGTATTATGATTGGACAGTGATTGGCTCCTGCATATGGATTTATATTGCGAATCTAAGGGTAATAACTTCATAATTGCACTACGTCTTGATGCAGAAGTCCTAGGGAAAACAATTGCAAGTTTATTCAGCATGATAATGTCACAAAATGATTTAAAAAGAAAAGCCAAATTCTGGGGAAACACTTTTAAAAAATGAATGAAATTTTGAAAAAAAAGTTACATTTTGAAAAAAAAGTCAGATTCTGAGAAAAAGGCTAATTAAAAAAAAAAATGTTTTGAAGAAAAAAATAGAGATTCTGAGAAAAAAAGGCATATTTTGAATGAAAAAAATCAAATTCTGAGAAAAAAAATTCAAATTTGAGATGCATTGTGGGACATGTAGTTTATGGGCAACGTGCTTCTGTAAATCGGCATGTAACCGTATAATAAACATATTATATTTTTTGCAAGCTCTTGTGGGCCACATAAAATGAAGTCACAGGCCGGATTTGGCCCCCGGGCCTTGAGTTTGACACCCCTGCTCTAAGACCTTGAAACACATAAGAAAGTCGGGATAATCTGCAAAAAGGTAGCAAAATCACAAATGGTGCCATAAAAAAATGTCACTGCAATAAAATAGAGGCAATAGTGTACATGTACAGCCAGTGATATATTTTTTTCTACATGCACACGTGAAATAGGTGCTATTCTAAAAGGATAAAATGAACAGTAATTTCCCACACACAAATGGAAGGAGTTTGTTAACTTCCAATTATTGACTAATCAGCCATTAGTCTGCTGCCTCTCCACATCTCGTCTATTATTCTGTCAGCCTGTACCAGCCACTTAGATCTGCTCTCAGGCTTCTATTAGGCAGCCGGTTCAGGGTTTCACAGCGCCTCTGTGATTACTGTGACCAAAAACACCCCATTAGTGCACATGTTAACACGTGAGTGCAAACACACTTACTGCCATGCCATGAGATCAATCTGGTAGAAGTTGATATGTTAGCTTCATTGTGGTTTGCTTGAACACCTCTCTCCCAACGCAAACACACACTCTCATTTACTCCCTCACTCATGAGAGAGACAAAAAGCAGGCAATTAACTTGACTTTCAACAAAACCCCGAGCCAGAAAATATATTCAGATTATGCAAAATGCAAAAAAACGCTATTGTTTTCAAAGTGAACATGTGTTAAAAAGCTACACGCTCGCTTCTCCCACTATCAAACACGCCGTGCAGAAATGCTTTATAACCAGGCTTCCAAATATGCCAAGCCGAGTGGAAAAGAAACCGACTCGGGCTAAGATTGACGTCGTGGCAACGCTAATAAGACGGCGAAACGTGTAATAAAGTCGACAATTAGGGCAAACATGTTCCACTGCTTGAGACGGAGGGAGATAGTCAGGCAGGGCGTGCAGAGCGAGGAGAGCTAATACAAACAGAGAGGGAGGGGAACTCGCTGAAGACAAGAGTTGTTAGTTTAGCTTCAGATTATTGACTTTCAAACAATGTCAGCAATTAGTCTGTTCTCACTGTGTTTCGTCTATTAGTCTGTCAGCTTCTACCAGCCACTTAAAACCTGATTTCAAGTGGAATAGGAGAGGGGCACATCTGTTAATGAAGTCCCATGTATAGAAAATGACCAATTAACCATTTAAAACATAAGGCTGGAGATGTGTGTGCGTGTGCGTGTGTGTGTGTGTGTGTATGTTAACGTTAATGGCAGCACAATAAATCCCAGTAAAGTAGATTTAAATGACTGATTGCAGAAAAAGTGAGGAGGGGAAAACATCAGCACATTAAAGCATTTCCTGTCAGCATCTGATTCCTGAATGAAACTAATTTGGATCTCTCCATTTTCCAATTAATAGCGACACAAAATAGATAGATTGGGAGGGATGAACCATTTAATCCATCCTAGTACCAGGAGACTAGTGCTAGGAGCAGTGGGCAGCTATTGTACAGCGCCCGGGGAGCAATGGGAGTGGGGGGTGGGGAAGGGGGGTGTCCGGTGCCTTGCTCAAGGGCACCACGGCAGGGCAGGAGGTGAACTGGGACCCCTCCAAGTAGCAGTCCACACTCCATATTTAGGTCTGGTCGGGGACTTGAACCGGCGACCCTACGGCTCACAGTCCAAGCCCCGACTGACTGAGCCACTGCCGGACTATATGTGTTGTTCAGGACCAATTAAATCATTTAACTAATTTCACATACAGTATATTCAGTTATTTGGAAGAAGGCCAGTCTTTTTTTTAATGAAAGGACACTTTAAATACAGACAAGTGCACTTCCTTTGATTGAATTGGGTACTCCGCTTACGTCCCATCGTTATTTACAATAAGATGGACTAAATCTGTTCATCAGAAAACCACAAAGGTCATCCTCTTTTCATAGTGCTTAAGCAATCAATGATTTGTGTGGTTAGGCAATCTATTAGATACAATTATTTACATGGGAACTTTTATTTAAGGAACACAAAGTATAGTATGCATTATGAGTCAAATGGGTAAAGCAAACAACACTGTGAGGGCTCAGAGTTTCATATCAGCCACTGAACAAAGTATACTGACAGTGTGATAAGTTGCCTGGATGAAGTCCATCCATTTTATGAATATTTCACATGTTTGTTTGCAGAAACAGTGTAACACACACTGATAATTGGATGTCAAAGGATTTATTGGATTAATGTGGCTGTCCTTGTCATATATCCAGGAGAAGGATTTGTGTTTTTAATGCATTTCAGTTTGTTGACTGGTGAAAAACTGCAAGCCCCTGCAATATCTACAGGGAACTGTTGATTTAGCAGGAGAGTAAATCCCCGGAGAGACTGATTAGGACCCGGAGGACGAATACCCAATTATTACTTATTGTTTTTACTGTTGGGACACACACACACACACACACACACACACACACACACACACACACACACACACACACACACACACACACACACTCCTTTGGCCATAAAGCACTAAGCCTTTTGGGCTTTGAACCCAAGAGGGTGTTTATGTGAATCGATGATCAAAGACACCCTGTGTCGCCATAAGCACAGAGCGTTTACCTCGTACTGACAGCCACACACTCTCACCTTATTCCACTTGACATTCAAAATCAATTAAACAGATGTTAAGACCGGCCGACTACTTGTTGTTGACTCAATATTCACATCAGAAGATACACACATGCAGCAGCACCTCTTCTCCACCTCCTGACACACAGCGGCTGTGTGAAAAGGTCATAGTCAATAGAAGGGACCGGAACATGTTATGTAGAGCATTATGATGACAGTGTGTGTTTCTCTGTGGATTTAGACAGACTCATATGGACACGAGAGGGATAAGCGATGGTCTAACATGAAGTGGTCCGACTGACTGATGTGTACAAAGGGGTCCGCTGGCTGACAACCGGGTCAATAATCGGACCTGATTGATTGGACTGACCCTTTGATGGTGTGGAGGGAAAGCAATTGAGACAGAAAAATACTGAGCGACTGAGAGATAAAGAGTGAGACAAAATAGGGTTTTTAAAGTCAATTAAGAGCAGTTACAAAATAAAAATGTAAAGTAACCCTGATAAAAGAAGAAAGAGTTGTGGAGAGAAATAAAGCACGTAGAGATACTCAGTGTGTGTTGTAGGGGTGAGTGTGTGTGTTGTAGGGGTGGGTGTGTGTGTGTGTGTGTGTGTGTGTTGTAGGTGTGTGTGTGTGTGTTGTAGGGGTGGGTGTGTGTGTGTGTGTGTGTGTGTGTGTGTGTGTGTGTGTGTGTGTGTGTGTGTGTGTGTGTGTGTGTGTGTGTGTTGTAGGGGTGAGTGTGTGTGTTGTAGGGGTGGGTGAGTGGGTGTGTGTGTGTGTGTGTGTGTGTGTGTGTGTGTGTGTGTGTGTGTATTTTACCTCCAGTCCTTCTGCAGGGCTGACCGTGGAGGAGGAGGAGGCAGTGGGTGAGGATGAGGAAGATGTGGAGGACGGGGATGAAGGGGAGGTGACTCTTCTGGGGCTGACCTCCACCAGCTTCTTCAGCTTCAGGTCCACATGCTTACTGTTTGAGCCTGGAGATACAAATATATAAATAAGCATAAACAGTGTACTTTATGTAAATATCAAAAGCACAATCAAACATTATAATATATAAAAAGTTCAGACGTTAGAAGCAAAAGAAAAAAATACCTGCACGTCACATACTGTGAATACAAATGGTATGAAATGTAATAAAGAACAGCAATAGAGAAGATTAATAAGTTTGGATTCATGAACACACTCATGCATGTCATTAAGTGTTTTGTGTTCCATAAAAAAAAATGTATATGAAAACTTGAATTTTTTTAACTAATTATAATGACAAACTTCTACAAGTAAAACGAAAATATTGACTTTTGAGATACTACAGTATGTGATTGTGATTTCTTATTAATTTTAAGTGCTTTTTTAAATATATTTGTATGATCACATTAGTGGAAATGGATGTCCTTATTCTCTTTCTCACGAGCAAACATATCTTTACATTCATTCTAAATAATCTTCTTGTCTTTTAAAGCTTTTAAATTTTCAAATCTCTACCTAACTCCCTCCCCTCATTTAACCGTCAGACCTAACCTCCTCACTTCCTTTAACTCCATCCTCCCTTCATATTTTTGCTCTATTATTTCTTCTTCCTCCCCACTCCCTCAGGTTCTCTCTGCCTTCCAGTAGCTGCGTACAGCTTCATGTTCCAGGGAATGGAAACCAATGCCAGACCAAACCACT